TTATTAATTGAGTATTAATTAATAAATGTTTCTGACACGTGTGAGTTTAAATAGTACCAGGGTATTTAAATTATTCTCAGTAATTTATTTTAACCTAAAAGTGTGTATGGGCGCATTTCTAGACTACTTTTTTAAAATATTGTACACATGTCCTTTTCTTTTTCATTTTCCTTTTCTTTTCTTCCTTTCCTTTTCTTTTCTTCCTTTCCTTTTCCTTCCTGTGCACTTCCTCTCTCGCTCGTTCTCTCTCTTTCTCTCTCCTATTTTTGTCCCAAATCAAACGGATCTTGAACCAAGGAAAGATTTAAAGAAGTTTTCAACGTCAAGAGAAGGATTCGAGGTAAGATTACTGAAAGAACCTCTCTTGAATCTCAAGTTTTTGAATTTCAAAACTTATTTTTGGTTCAAACCGGATATTGATGGTTTTTGAGTAAAACTAGGGTAGAAATTGGAGATCTTGGGTTATTTAGACTTGTTTTAGGACCTAGAACCCAGATCTAGTGATTTTCCTTTGAAACATTTCGATTTGGGATTACGATTGTAGATTTTAGACTGGTTTCCGCAGCTTCTCTCGTGCAGCTGATTCCACCGATCGACGAGTGCGGTCGACCGAATCACATGGTAACCGGTCGATCGGATTGCATTGGCCTGACCGGTCGACCAGAGTGCACACCACCGGTCGACCGGTGGTAATGCACTGTTCTGTCACCGGTCGACTGGTTGACACGGGGTTTGACCCTGTTTGGCCTGAAATTTCTGTTTTGACCATTGTTTTCGGGGAAACCCCAAATTAGCTTCATTTGGGGACTTGAGATGAATGGATTAGCATCTTTAATCCTTGATTTGAGATGGAAAACCCTTGGAATGATATATTGAAACATGAAAATGGATTAGGGCACACTAATTGGAAACCTTGGTATTTAATTGAGATTGGATTGCTTTAGGAATGAGAATTAATCCTAAAGTGTTGTCTTGCATTAGTGATTGCTGAGGATTCAGACTGAAGGGGCTTGAGGAAGCGGAAGCCAGAAAAGACAACGCTAGTCCTAGGTTTGATAGTATGAGGTAGGATTTCTATCCCTTTTCCTTGTGAGCCTGTTTTCAAAAAGGATTTTGGCCTTGGAAATGTTTTAAAAGAAAATGGTTGGTTTGCGAAAGAAAAACTCTTTGAAAACCATGGCTTGTAGAGTTTACAGAATCCATGGCTTGTCCTGTCCATGAAATCCATAGCTTGTCCAGTCATGGAACCTCATGACTTGTCCAATCATGGGGCCCGCGGCTTGAGTAGTTCGTGGGGTCATAAAAATGATTTCAGAAAAGTTAATGAATGATTTCTTAAGCAAAGAGATCTTGTGAACTGGTAATAGAGTCTATTGCTGTAAGCCTAGATAGGATGCGGATAGTGCATCCTCGGGGGCAGAACCCGAAACTCGGTCCGGGTAGGCGAGACACTTGGTTAGGTAAGTAATTTGTACTAATTACTTGCTAAAGCCTGTAATATGGTTATTTTCAGTTATATTTCCTTTGAGAAAAAGAATGTGAGGTTCCGGCTGTCTGTTGGAACTGAATGTCTATTTATTTTATTTACTTATTCATTCATTTATTCGTGGCTCATTTAATTATCCATCTAATTATACAGTCATTTCAAATTACATCCTACTGGGCCTTTCGCTCACGTTTTAAGTTTTAAATGTGTTAAACCCCTCCCAGGAGATTCTAGGAGCGGTGCACAGTAGCTGGATATTTGCTACGAAGCAGTTGAGTTGTGCTGCTGTTGGAATCAAGTGAGGATTGTGTTCATCCTCTGGAATAAAATGTAAGGAATTGAGAATTCTGTAAACTCTAGAAATATTTAGATTAACTAGACTGTGGTTGATGTCTGTTGTAATTTGTTATTTACATGTTCATGTATGTACGATACTGTATGTCCTGTGGGTGGAGCCTTGTGTGTTGTCAGAGGTTCAGGATTTAAAAATTTATATTATATTTTAAATGCAGTTGAGCGGGGCTCGTTTGAGAATCTACTTTATTAACCCCTAATCGAGCTCTACGTCACCCACCCCGTTTGGGGGGTGTGACAAGGCACGTGGGGGGCATAGTGACAGAATGCACATACTTCAAGGACCGATTGGGTTAATTATACTTTTTTTTTTTTTGGAAAACAAGTAGGCATTTGAGATACATAGGTCTCATTCATTTTACTAATTCAAGTTTAAAATTTAAATTTTATTAGAGTAAAAAAGTAAAAAGTTAGTGATTTAAGGCTATGTGCGTAATCAACGACAATCGACAGGAATAGCATTCCACTAAATCCGGGTCATGAATTACTTCCATTGTATATAATCCACCTTTGTTAAAAGAATTTTTGTCACCATTGTTATTTTTAGATTGTTCAAGAAATAACAATTTTAAACTTATATTTATTTTAATGATAAGTTCTTGAGTTTATTTTGTTAATAGACCTAAAAAATGGACTATAAATCCATCAAAAAAAAGTGACCATAAATAGTTGAAATTTAATAGAAGGTGTCTTTAGTCTTATATCAAATTATCAACTACATATAACTTTAAATGTTATAAAACAAAGGCATGAGGTGCAAAATGTTTTTAAGAGTTCAAGATGATTATCAGAATTTTGAGGCTTACATCCTCTTTTAAAATTTTAAGTAAATTGTTACGTGGAAGATACACGATTAAAGTTTTTTTTTTTTCCTTAAAAAATTTTTTACCTAAAGTTTTTTACTTAGATTTTTTTATTTATTTCATAGTTCGGATAATTAGTTTTTCTTTTTTTAATAATAGATGTCATTTTAAAATATTTTTATAAATCTTCTGTGACGTCATGTAGACTCTTCTTTGAGCGTATGTAGATTTTTCTTTAAGCGTCAATGCTATAGAGTACTGAAAGAAAAAAAAGGTTTTCAATATAAGATTTATATGAAGCTCATCTTTTATTATCAAGCATTTTTCTTCTAGAAATCAAGAATGTTTTAAACGGTTTTAAAAAATCAGGTGGTATCCTTTTTTTTTTTTTTTTTGCTGAAATAGGTGGTATCTTGAAAATGGTGTATTTATGATGAAGAATACTAATTTAGGGCCCGTTTAGTTCGCTGATTCGAGTTTTTAATTCGAGTTGAGATGTGATTTTATGTGAGAGCTTTTTACTGTAGCAAAAAAATTAGATGTGATTGTTTGTGAGGGCTTTTTACTGTAGCAAAACTCGAATTCTAAACTTGAATCAACGAAATGAACGGGTCCTTACTCTATCATTAAGTGTTGTGGTTAGCCGATAAATAATTATCGGAATTTTGCCGGCTTATATCCTCATTTAAAATTTTAATATAAATTTGTTACGTGGAAGATACACGATTAAAGTTTTTTTTCCCTTAAAAAAATCTTTACCTGAAGTTTTTTAGTTAGATTTTTTTTTATTTCATAGTTTAATTAATTTTTCTTATTTTTTTTAATAATAGAGGTCATTTTAAACATTTTTATAAATCTTGGATGACATGTCATGTAGACTCTTCTTTAAGTGCATGTAGACTCTTTTTTAAGCCTTAATAGAGTACTGGAGGTGTTTAGTACTATTCATTAATAAAAAGAAAAGGATTCTCAATATAGGGTTTATATGAAGCTCATCTTTTGTTATCAAGCATTTTTCTTCTAGAAATCAAGAATGTTTTAAACAAGTTTAAAGGGTGCATTTGAAATTAGTTTTAAAATGATTTTATTTTCAATAAAAATTAAAAATGAGATTGTTTTGAGAATTATTCTGGGACTGATTCTGAAATTGCGTTTGGTTAGTTTTTTAAGAGATTGTTTTGAGTATAATAAAAAAGTGAAATCATATTTGGTTATAATTATTAATTAATATATTATAATATTATTGATAAGTACTAAAAAATGAAAATAAAAAAGTACAAACATCTTTCAACTGTTTTTTTAATTCCTTCACAAAAATCATTCTCACTGTTTTCGTTTTCAAAATATTTACCAAAAAAACGTTATTTCATTTTCATTTTCATTTTTTGCTTCTCAAAATATGAGAAAACTGTTTTAAGAAACAGTTCCAAACACGCATAAAAAATCATGTGGTATCTTTTTTTTTTTTTTTTTTTTTTTTACTGAAAGAGGTGGTATCTTGAAAATGATGTATTTATGATGGAGAATACTAATGTACTCCATCATTAGCTAGTAAATAATTTTTTAATTGTCTGGTTTGAAATAGGAACAGTTATGTGTCACATGTTGTAACAACAATTTTTATTGGCGGAACAAAATGCATGTTTGATTAAGAAAAATATTTGCATTACTCTTTATGTTATTTTTTTAAACATTTTCTCTATTAAGTGTTTGACACGTGGACTCACTAACATAATATGTTATTATTTAAAAGGATATTAACATTTTTATATTATGTGTTTTGGGTTTATTAAAAAATGATACATTCGGTTTTTAATTTCATAATACTTAAATTTATATTTTTTCACAATCAACTCTCAATTTTAAACATAAAATACTTAAAGTACCCTTAAATAAAAATAAATAAAGAAAAAGAAAACCAAAAAAACTTTAAACTTACTGTTTTAACTTTAAAATATCTAAAATATCATTGAAATGAGGTTTTTTGTATTTTTATTTTTTATTTTTTGTAGTGTTGAAAAATTTTAATTTTAATTTTTCTCTTTTTTTAAAGATAATTTAATCATTTTAAAGATTAAAATTAATATTAACTGAGATAAAAGATAAATATATATATTAAATTAAATTTAGAGATATACACTAAATCAAAAACTAAAATTTTTAAATTTTAAATAAATATAAAATATAAAGTATACAAATATAAATATCTCTTATTTAAATCAAAAATAAAAAAAAATATCTTATTCTACATAAATAACTCAAATCACAATTTAAAATTTTACAGTATTTTTTCTACAAATAAGTGACGCATTTTTCCGGGTTCGAACTTTCAAGTAACCGAAAGGTAAGAATAAATATTAAATCATCACTGGGCCATTGGCACGGACTCTGCCTCACCAGTCACCAACTCGTGATCGCTCCAAAGTCCGATAAATAATCCCCATTTCCATCTGGGTTTCCGTTTCTTCATCATCTCTGAATCTCATTTGCCTTTTTTGCTTTCTCTATCAACGAAAAATGGTTCTGGAAGTTGCCGTCAAGTCTGCCGCTGGCGCTCCCAATCTTCTCGGAGACTGTATGTTCCAATCTCTCCTCATCTTTCTCACACCAAATCTTTTCTGGTTTTGATCGAAATTTTTTCTGATTTATTTTTTTTCATTTATTTTTCTCAGGTCCATTTTGCCAGAGGGTTCTGCTGACTTTGGAGGAGAAGAAAGTACCCTACAAGACGCACCTCATCAACCTCAGTGACAAACCAGAATGGTATTTGAATTTTCCTGAGTTCTAAACAGTATGTCGTTTGGAGGTTCTGTTTTTGTGATTTTGTTGTTGATGGCTTTTGTAGGTACTTGGCTGTGAATCCCGAGGGGAAAGTGCCTGCGGTGAAGTTTGATGACAAATGGGTTCTTGATTCTGATGTTATTGTTGGGATTCTCGAGGAAAAGTACCCTGAGCCCTCTCTTGTTACTCCTCCCGAATTCGCCAATGTGTATGTTTCTTGTTCTTTTTCTCTCTGCTGTGACTTTGGGGTCTTTTCAGAAATTTCATATGGTTGTGTAAAAATGTTTTTGAGAATTATTCAACATGGTATGATCTGAAGTTTGAACACAGTCTTATTCACTGTCATACCATCATATCAATTAAAAAGAGAATCCAATCGGATAACAATTTAATAGAATCTGATGAAATATTGATTCAGAACTGTGCTTTATCCTGGCTGACAGTGCTTGATTCTTCTGAATCTTAAATCCGGTCAAAATCACTTTAGAAAAGAAAAAAAAGTATGTAAAACTCATTGATACTAGTAAGGTACTTTTTCAAATCCTATCAATCTGACGACTTTGAATAAGGTCAGCTTAAAATAGATTGTTGGGGTTAGCTCTAAAATGGGGACTAGGAACAGTAATGATTGAAATTGTAATCTGGGTGAGCTATATTACCATGCGTTTGTAACTGTTCAAATTATTTTTCTACAGTGTTTTCTTCCACAATTAAATTTCTGTGCAAACTTTTCTGTTCAAACCTTTGAACCAAATGGGTTATTAAACTTTCTCTGTGTGTAGGGGATCAAAGCTCTTTGGGCCCTTTGTGACATTCTTGAAGAGCAAGGATCCAAATGATGGGTCAGAGCAGGCTCTGCTCAATGAGTTGAAGGCACTCGATGAGCATCTTAAGGCACATGTATGTTCATTTAGTATCAGAAACTGCTGTGATTTCTAGAAAATCGGTATTTGATATCTTTTCTTTTCTCTAAAAAAAAGTAAGTGCTGATAATGTTTTGGGATCGAATCAGGGTCCATATATTGCTGGGGAAAAGGTCACTGCTGCAGATCTAAGTTTGGCACCAAAACTCTACCATCTCGATGCGGTTCTTGGACATTTCAAGAAGTGGACTGTCCCCGAAGACTTGACTCATCTCCACAACTACAAGAAGGTACGTGCTTCTTCTGCATTGCACTGTATGCACGCTTCACTTTGTTTTGTTCTTTCGTTCTTTTTTTTGTTTTGTTAATTTTATTTTGCCCTTTCTGTTACTTTATGTGCTTCAATAACATGGCATAACTTTTGTTTAATTTAAGTTTTATGTGTATCAAGGATTAAGAGATGATTCTGCAACTGATTGTCAGCTTTATGTTTGTAATTTGTTATTGAGATAATTCTCTGGACCAGTTTTGTTTGGTTGTCCTACAGTTTTAAACCTTCGGGAAAAATTCAGATACTGTTAAAGATAAAATCAGAATTGTTTCAGATTAAATAAAATATGTAACAATTTAACCGAACCTGATGAATATCTTACGGTAGAGTTGTTTTTTTTTTTTTCATTTTTTTTTCATACCCTACCGAATTAACCTTGTTGTTGCCCATTATCTACTTACACTTTGACGTCAACTTGTTAGTTTGACATTATGGTTCTATGTTGAACTCTACTTTATCTTGATTCGTGGCTTTATTAGAGTAGAATGGGGTTTCTTATTTCTGAAATTAGTTTAGCTGGACAATTTTGACTAGTGGATGTGGCACCATGGCAGTAGTCATTGTAGTATTAGATACACCTTTATAATCTTTTCCTCCTTGACCTGCTTTTCTATATCTTTGACATTTTCTCATGTAAGTATACTTTTCTGAGTATTAATTAAGTCTTGTGCCTCATCAAATGAAGCGTTTAAGGAAAGTTCATGATATATTCTAGTTTATGCTCTATATGTTGGCTATGTGCTCTCGACATGTTCGGTTAAATTTTTCGACCATACAGAGTCACAATGGAGTGCTGTAATCAATAGCCTCGGGGACCATGTTTAGATCTTGAGTATCCTGGTACAAATATAGAATGGCGTGACCAAAATTTTTAAGTCAATGTTTCTATTTTTGTACGTATGCTAAAGTTTACAAGAGGCATCTCATAGGAAAAAAAAAAGGGTAGAAAAAGTAAGAGTTGCAAGACCTAATGTTGTTGATATTTATGATCATCGATTTACTCAAGTTTCATATTAAGTGCAATCTTCAAATGTTAAATATTTATTTGCTGCGCCATTCCTATTACAAAACTTACTTCTCAGAAGTTGATATTTGTCAATGTGCCCCGATTTTCTAAAAACAGTTGAAAAGAAGTGTTTTAGTCTAAAGTATTTTGATACATCTGCAGGAGATTAAAACTTAATACTCATTCGGCTGAGATAGAACTGTTCTAAATCAAATCGTACTTTGTTGATTTATATTCGCAGTCGTTATTGTTAGACAGCTCTCTCTCATGTGCTTATGTTTGTGTGCTACTTTTGATGAAAACGAATTCCTTAAATTCAAGAAAGTTTCGTTTTGGCGATTCGATATTGTTTTGCAGCTGCTATTCTCGAGGGAGTCGTTCGAGAAAACCAAGCCTGCTGGTGTGGAGTATGTGATTGCAGGATGGGCTCCCAAGGTCAACGCATGAAATGGTTCTAGAATATACGATGTTGAAGCTTATTAGTTATGATCTGGTTGAAAACTCTTTTTAGTGCCTGAAAGTAAGCGGTCCTGGTTTATGCCCGCCTCTAATAAATGTAAATCTGTTACAATGCTGCTTTGCACTTTGCTATGACTATTGTGGCAGGCATTTTAAAGGGTTAGTGTTTCTGTAATTTTCCGTTTTTTTTTTCTTTGGGTGTAGAGTGGAATAAGTGACCTTTTAACTCTTGTAGAAGGATTTTCGTTAGTGTAATGAAGTTGAGGATTAGATGCTTACTTAGAACCATGTATTAGCACAGACGAGTTCAACAATACTGAGAGCTTGTTTGGTAAGAGGAAAAAGTGGCTTGTTGCCTACAATGCTACGCAAGAATACGTGTCGCAAATAAATAATAAAGTGTACTGAATACAGATATCGTCCCCACGAAAATTGATTTACCAATTGTATAATGCAGAAATCATGCCAAACACCAAATTAAGTAGAGAAAGTTAATTTACTAAAACTCACTACAGCAATATAAAATGAAGAAAAACAGTTTTAAATGCAAGCAAAAAGGTGGCAAGAGCACTTGAGTTCAGCTATTGAGTATAACTAGTGATTTAAATAAGTCAGGATTATTAATTTCCCCTCAATTGTAAGTCTGACAGTAATTGCTACAGGAATGTTATAGTAAAAATTACCCCTATTAACTGAAACTTAGTTTGCTGCATAAAATTCTTTCGAATTATTATGATTAAAAATTCTTCAAACCATTTTCAGTATATTCTTATGTGAATCTAGTTATCAGAATGTAATTTTTAACACTTGTTTCACTGGGTTATACAAGATGAACAATAAATTCTTATACCATTTACAAATCAATAAACTCAAACAAGAGTATTGAACTTGTATCATCTATATTAGATCCAACTAAAATCAATCTTTCTAGTATTAATCTTAATCTAATATCCTATAATTAATGGCCAGTTAAAAATAGAAATAATCAATCAACACACATGGATAAACATGAATAAAATCAGTAAACATTCTATAAGCAAACTATCTTTCCTACGGCTTTAGTTCCATTAACAATCCTAGCTAAGAACAATTTAACTCATGGTTAAATTTACAAAAACCAATTGCTTAGTATAATTCATTGTTCAACATAATTTGCAAATCCAGAGAGAGAATAAAGACTACAGAGAGTAGAAGAAAGTAAAAGAAAATTCAGCTTATTGGAGCTTGAATCCTTGTTCTCCTCCTTTCCTTCTTCAAACAATCTTCCACGTGATGAGAAAGATAGAAAATCTCTCTCCGAGTACAGCCCTCTTTATTCTTCCTTTCTGCTCTCTTTTTTTTTTTTTCTTTTTTTTTTTCTCTTTTTTTTTTTTTCTTTTTTTTTTTCTCTTTTTTTTTTTTTCTTTTTTTTTTTCTCTTTTTTTTTTTTTCTTTTTTTTTTTCTCTTTTTTTTTTTTTCTTTTTTTTTTTCTCTTTTTTTTTTTTTCTTTTTTTTTTTCTCTTTTTTTTTTTTTCTCATTCTTTTCTTCTCTCCTTCTCTTGGCCTGGTTCTCTTCGTCAGAGTGCTCCCCCTCCTTTCCAGTTGCGGCCACCTGCTCTAAAAATGAGTGTTCTCTTCATTACGCATCCAAAGGATGCTGAGGTGGCACCTAGTGAGTGATTAGGTCCAAATGACTCTGCACAACATCATCCTCCTGTGAAGTTTTGTCTTTTTCCTTCGCTCTAACACGTGCTGATGCCACTCATAAGGCTACTTGCTGTCAAATTTTGCTACAGCAAAATGTTGCAGCATTTCCTTTAAAATTCCTGCAATACACATCAACACACCCTAGAGCACAACTCAACCCTTTTTAATCCGATTCTCTTCAAAATTACCTTAAAGATGGCACACACACTGATCTTAGCTTGGTTCATCAAAACAAAACCAAAAGTTGGAAATAAACACATAAAAATAGACCAACTTACCTTTGGATTAACTTTAAGTTTAAAAATGTCTAAGATAACTCTAATTTTTTAGAGTTATCAGAGGAGAGATAGGGTAAGTAAATTAGTGGCAGGATTTTAGACTTATAATTATTTAGTAAGAGAGATAAGATATTGGGTAGAGGATTTTAAATCCTACAAAAAGACTTCAAATTTAACTTCTCAATAGTAAGGTATTAAAGAAGGAAACTCGTGCCAATATGAGAATGGTCCTCCCATTTGTCTCTATTTTCTTCATCTAAATTATATATCTTTTCTTTGTTATTTTTTCCCCTTTTACCAAACAAGCCTAAAAGTTGTTTATCAAATCTGGCCTACCAGGTACGGTGCTGGTTTTTAATGCTGAAATTGATGGCAAAAAAAAAAAGGTTGAACTTTGCACTTTTAATTAATACTTTTTTATTAATATGATTATTTAATTAAAAATAATATTAATTTAAAATAAAAAGTAATATTTAGATTCACGCACTTTTAAAATATACTACTCTTTTTTATAAAAATGTATGTATATATATTCAAGCTGAATATAAATATTTTTTATTTAATCGATTAAAATTCTTTCAAGCAAGGAAGGAAAGAAATCTACTAATTAAATAATAAAAAAAGTCGACTTTCTAATCGACCTAACCAAATCAGTTAAAGTAAAAACGACTAATTGCTTGGTTTGAGCATCCCTATTAGGATTAGTGAATGATTTCTTTAGATGTACGACAACTCGGAATAGAACTTAGAAGGAGTCGATTAGTGTGGAGATTACTAATCATCAGTTGTAAACTAGTATGGAGATATATAAGTTTTTCTCTCTTTACCTTTCCCATTAATTATTTATCATCCTTGTACAGAACAAATAACTTTTAGTGTACAAAATTTAGAAGAGCTAGTATTCAATATTTTGCATAAACTTTAGAAGAGCTAACATGCAATGTTGTACAAGACTTCAAATTTAACTTCTCAATAGTAAGGTATTAAAGAAGGAAACTCGTGCCAATATGAGAATGGTCCTCCCATTTGTCTCTATTTTCTTCATCTAAATTATATATCTTTTCTTTGTTATTTTTTCCCCTTTTACCAAACAAGCCTAAAAGTTGTTTATCAAATCTGGCCTACCAGGTACGGTGCTGGTTTTTAATGCTGAAATTGATGGCAAAAAAAAAAAGGTTGAACTTTGCACTTTTAATTAATACTTTTTTATTAATATGATTATTTAATTAAAAATAATATTAATTTAAAATAAAAAGTAATATTTAGATTCACGCACTTTTAAAATATACTACTCTTTTTTATAAAAATGTATGTATATATATTCAAGCTGAATATAAATATTTTTTATTTAATCGATTAAAATTCTTTCAAGCAAGGAAGGAAAGAAATCTACTAATTAAATAATAAAAAAAGTCGACTTTCTAATCGACCTAACCAAATCAGTTAAAGTAAAAACGACTAATTGCTTGGTTTGAGCATCCCTATTAGGATTAGTGAATGATTTCTTTAGATGTACGACAACTCGGAATAGAACTTAGAAGGAGTCGATTAGTGTGGAGATTACTAATCATCAGTTGTAAACTAGTATGGAGATATATAAGTTTTTCTCTCTTTACCTTTCCCATTAATTATTTATCATCCTTGTACAGAACAAATAACTTTTAGTGTACAAAATTTAGAAGAGCTAGTATTCAATATTTTGCATAAACTTTAGAAGAGCTAACATGCAATGTTGTACATATATATATATATATATATATATATATATATTTGCATCCAAAATGATATGAGTCGCTCGCTACTGTCCTCCAGCAAACGATGTTGTTACTATAATATCAATACAAATATAATAGGATTCAGATCACATCATATTAAGCCGTATTAAATAATAGATTCAAATAGTAAAGCATGAAAACTTTAGTTTAAAAACATTTATGATATGGTTGGTTATATATATATATATTATTTAGATTAGTGTCGCTCAAAAAAGGAGATTTGGTGGTGCACTTCATGTCTTTTAAGTCTTTTGACTATCAGCAATCTCAAGGACCACCGAGTATATGAAAAGTGTCTAAACTAGTCTCCCACTGACTATCCAACCAATTTTCACTCCCCTCCATTCTGTGAGGCCAGTTCATGTCTTCTAGGCCTTTCGGCTATAACAGCAATCTCATGGATCACCTAGTATGTGAAAAGGGTCTGAACTAGTCTCTCCCATCCAACTAATTTTCACTACCCTCCATTTTGTGAGGCCAGTGGAAGCCTACTTAATCTCTCACAAAGGGCATAGCAGCAACACATAGATGTGAGTATCGAACCCTGAAAGAATGAAGAGAGAAGACCTAACAAAAGCGTCCTTACCACTACACCACGATCCTCGGTGGTCAGTGTGGCATGAGGCTTGATATGGTTAGTTATAACTTATATACCATTCAGGACACCAAAGTTGAACAACGATTTGAAAAAGTTCATATTTGATATCCTATTTTTTTGTTCCATTTGCTGTCCCTCGAAGAAAATTCGAGATAACACATCTGACTCAAATTTGAGTGTCCGCTGGCCTCATTGTGACAAATTCTCTCTAAATACATTAGAACGCAACATTGTTCTAATTATGTTTGACAAGTAATTACTTGTTAGTTGTTTGTCCGTTTGAGCTTTGGTCAAGCACAACAACTAAAATTATGAAAATTAAGATGCACTTCACATTTGACTTAGTATTGCAAAATTCCATTTTATTGTCTTTCATTCTCTTCTCTCTCTCTCTCTCTCTCTCTCTCTCTCTCTCTCTCTCTCCTTTGTTTCTCTTGCTCTCTCTCTCTCTTTTTTTTTTTACTTCACCATAAACTAATCATCCCATTATTAATTAAGAAACTAATATATGGAAAGCTCTTTTATAACGAGATTTGCCAATGAGGTTGCACCACCACAGTACATTAGTGTCATGAGGCGGCATAGAGTACCCAAGATGTTGGACACCATAACTGTTTTTTTTTTTTTTTAAATCTTGTGCTACCTTTTTCATTTCCTCCTGCGTACCAAGGTAATCTTACATCACCTCGTGATCTTATCTCTGTACACTTATTTATTATCTGGTGCCACTGGTGGTGAAAAACCAATATTTTTAATTCAGAAAAGACCATTTATCATCATCTGCATTCCCACACATGCCGAGTTATTTGTGCCTATGGAGGTAGCAATTTGTGCTGCTTTAAGCCACACCTTAATTTGTGGGCTAAGGAACAACAACGTTAGTGGGTTGGTGATCGACCTCATTCAAAACCCATCAAATACCTTACATCATTTCCTGATTTATTTAGAAACAAACAATCCAAAGACAAAATGCAGCCTTAGCAAAAGCAGAATACGACTTGTGTTTTACTTTTTTCCGGACCCATTCTTTTGTCCAAGCCTGGCTCTCATACAAACCGGAAATCGCAGTGACAAAAAAAAAAAAAAAAGGAAAGTAATGTCGACAGCGACGATTGCTCAAATTGCCACGTGTATTTGGTTCTCCATACGACAGAATATATGCGGGCTAATAATGTGGTACACTTAAGTCAAGATAGCTGATGTGTGCCCAATAGCTATAGCACGTACTATGACCCACCTCCAATATTGGTGCTGATTTTGTGCGAGCTAAACTACAAGGAGTCCAATCATTTTCAACCATTTATTATGGTTGGATGGTGGAGTATAATTTTTTTTTTTTTTTTTTTTTTTTTTTTTTTTTTTTTTGTGGATCTAAAAAAGATCATGGTCTATTCCCATCGTTCATTCCGAGACCCATCAATAAAACGAAAAGGGTCGTCCAGTTTGACATAAGATTCATGTTTTGTTGGTACTGACTATAACTACATCAACAGGATAATTTTACATTGGTAGGTCTTGGAGCATAGTGCATGTTACAATGATATAAATATAATGTAGTTCAGAGATTTGCATAAATATGTATATAGATTTAATACTAATTAACTCAAAGGAGATATCACCAGATATTACAGACAGAGAATAATTAGCACGTATAATGAGACAACAAAACATCTACTACAGTAGATGGAGTAGTATAGTAGGGATTTTGCTGAAGATATATTAGTGGTAAATTAATTAGGCTTACATCCCGCCTTATAATAAGTAGAATTGAGCATGCAACTAATCGAGCATTATTTTACACCGCGCAATATATATATATATATAATCATGCATTCATGTGTCGTGGTCAGAGTTACCAGGGGAATCTGAAATCAGCTTTCGGAGTATTTGGTTCGTCTCTTTCTCAGGCAATATTTCTCTTTCTCTGCTTTGAAAGTGAGAGTTATACGCCTCGAAGAATTCCTTGTTTTCTTTCTGAAGTTCATTCCACACTGCATGTACATGTTATGAAGATCAAATAGTAATTATATATGATCTGCAGTGTTATATAATATATATATATATATGCATGTATGTATATATATATAGTTTCTACCTTAGCAAACTATACAAAGTCTCAAACATATTCGTGCCTGCGTACGTGCGTACATATACATGTATCTATATTATGTGTATGCACATGCATGTTGATTATTTTTGAAGTGTATTGTGTTAAATAAAACAAAGCACAGACAATTCATATGTCCAATTGCTTTTTTTTTTTTATTGTGAGAGGGCGACTAACATCAAAATGATCACTCGAACATCTCAATTATTAGGTTAGATCTCACCTATGTATGTACATACATACATACATATATACATATATATATATATGTATATATATGAGCCAGCAGAAAATTCAGAATTGTGGAAGTGATCTTGAAAAATTAATCAATAATTAGACGAATCGCTAACCAGTACAGGTGATAATAGGACTTATGTTTGCATGTTTTGAAAGGGCTTCCATGGACTCCTCTTTACTCAGCCGCATGATCAGGCACTTCTCTATCAGGTAATGCACCTATAAAAACACACAATTAACAAATGTGCTTATATATGACAATATTCACTAATTGTTATATAGAACATCAACCATTATGCATCTTAAGGAAGAAAAACTACTAATGTAAATAATCATAAATTCCGAGAAAAAGGGTATGCGTAGCGCTTTTAAAACGCCCGTTATATAATTCATGAAATCCAATGAAATTTACACAATTTTTTTTAATTTCTCAACTCACAAAGTGTATGTATGGAGCCGCTGATGAGTAATCTCCCATTATATTAATCTCTCTACTCTTATGTATGAAAGTACGTTCGTAGAACTTTTTATGATACCTAAAAGCAGGAGGGAGAAGTTCAGAGAACTGCAGGGTCTAAGAAGAATATATGGGGCTAACAAAATGTATGTAGCCTCAACTTAAAAAGGAAATGAGTCAAATGAGTAGCTAGATGGATTGGGTGGGGCCCGAAATGTTTGAGATAGATAATAAGGGGTTGAAGAAGAGATGGTACAACGATTGCCGGTACCAATAATTCCACAGCAGAGATATAAGACGCAGAATACGAATCATTCCTTTTCTAAATTTAAAAAGTAAAGAAATTATCTTAATTTTATTATGTTCCTTTTGAGGAGGAACATGTGGATAATTTACACGCGGTTTGTGTTTCATAAATTCAACTTAGATCTCATATTGGAGTTTAAAATTTGAATTTTGTTATAATAAAAAATTTTCAAAAATAATCACATTTTTTTTATTACAGTAAAAAATTCTCACATAAAGTCACATTTAAATTCGAATTAAAAATTTGAATAAAAAAACTAAACGGATCTTTATTGTTCAATCTCTCATAAATTTAAATTTATGTTCAAATTTTTCCTTTCAAACATATATGACTCAAACGAGCTACAAAAACCATGGAGATTTTATTTTGAGAGACGGTGCTACTATTGCCTATTAAATTCACCAGCAGTTTTTCATTTTAATTTAATTGGCTAAATTATATATTATAATTTGATGGTGCTATTGCCTATAAGATTCACAAGCAGTTTCTCCTACAAATTTAAAACGGCCAGTGAAATTTTGGGTGTCCAATTGTATTTTCCTCGACAATTGCAAATGGTCACAAAAATGCCTGCCAAATATAGGCTCCAATGCTAAGGAGATGTTTGGTTGGAGGATTCAAATCATGATTTGAATCATGGTTTGTTACAGTATTTTTTCTCACAAAAAATACACATAAATTGAAAATAATTCTAATCCATGAACCAAACGTCTCCTAAATGATCTTGAATCGATGGATATTGTCTCCATGATTAGTGAGAGACCTTCATCTAAAGAAAATTTCAAGTCCTGTTGTACATAGCAGTGCTGTTGTCACGGCACATTAGGTTGATGGGGATTGAGTTTTACAAAAGCGAATAATTAGTTTTCATTTATGTCTATTTCCACATAATATAAATGCTATTTTTTCAACTATAATGGAAATTTTTAATTTTTATGGCATCGAAGATAAAGTTTTAATAATTACTTTTGATAATACATCAGCTAACACAGCTGCTATTAACATCTTTAAAGCAAATTTGAAACCACCTTTTTGGTGGTGAATTTTTTCATCAACGTTGTGCATATTATATAATAAATTTAGTAGTACAAGCAGGTATTGAATTTATATAACATCATCTAACAAAAATTAGAGAATCATTATCTTTCATTTCTAGCTTTGGAGCTCGGTTCTAAGAATTTTGACAATATTGTAAGAACAGCCAGATGCGGCTAAGAAAGTTTCTAATAGATGTGAGACATAGGTAGAACTCCACCTACTTAATGTTGAAAACTGTAATTCCATATCAACGGATCATCACTACATATGTGAACAGCAAGCATGCTGAGCATTTTATTTATGATGCAGATTAGAAGATTGGTGAGTACTTTTTTAAATTTTTAGAAGTATTCTACAACGCTACCGAATTACTTTCTAGTGTTTATTATCCTACTGCGCATCTAGTTTTGCATCATTTATTTAATATTTTGAAAACGTTTGCTTATTATAGGAATATTGGTCATTTTGCACCCATAGTTTATGAAATGGAAGCTAAATGTAAAAGTTATTGGGCCAGTTGTCCTATTTTATATGCATTAGCAACAATTTTAAATCCTAGATGTGGATTAGATGAGACCGAATCTTTGATGTGTGTGACAACATATAATTTAGGTATTGATATGAAACTAACCATTGACAATGCTAGGAAAATGTTAGAACACTTCTTTGCTTTGTATGAAAAAATACGGAACGGGACAACAAGAACATGCAACTGCGATGTCAAGGAGCCGTTCGGAGCTTAAAGGTTCATCGTGGAGCTTCTTGAAGAGGAAGGAGAAAGCATCGGGATCGTCATCAACACATGGAACGTCTTCAGAACTAGTCAAATATTTTGAATCAAATTTTATAATTGATGACGACAAACTGGACATCTTACAGTGGTGGAAGAGGCCACATGAACGTAGTGCCTAGATAGCATCCTTATACAGCACAAGCCACACATAGCGCATATAAATCACGGTGACTTGCATTCCCCTTGGCACAAACATATATATCAATATATATAATTGCATATTCCAATATTCTCATGCCTCGTTCAGTTTGTCGATTCAAGTTTTCAATTCGAGCTGAGATGTGACTTTATCTAAGAGCTTTTAACTGTAGCAGAAAAAGTGAGATGTAACTTTTTTTAGAGCTTTTAACTGTAGCAAAATTAGAATTAAAAACTCAAATCGGTGAAATGAACGAGGCCAATTTGTTAATTTTTGTTAAGAGCCCTCCTGAAGACATGTTTAGTATACCGTATAAGCACTCTATATTGTATTATTTAAGAATAATACAATGTTTGGTAACATTTCATACAATGTATAGTTTAATACGAAGTTCAAATTTAATACAATAGATAGTGTGTATTAGATCGTATTATGCAATTTAACTTTATAAAACATATAAATATTTTATAAATATTAAGCGTCTGGATCCTGTTTCGGGACCGTTGCTGAGGTTAAATTTTGAGATTGAAACGATGTTGAATCTACACTTTTCAAAAATTACACTTTGACTCAATTTTTAAAAATTTATAGTTTGAGCTCAAATTTTTGAAAATTATATTTTGATCCCTCAACTTTTCAAAATTATATTTTTACCCCAAACCTTTTTCTAAATTATAATTTCACCCCTCGATTTTAGACCGGTGTCGAATTGGATATTCGCTCCGACACCATCATAAATGTTTCTGTATATGTACCTGCTGACTTGTTCTTTCCTTTCGTTTGGTGTAAGTCAACTTTCCATTATGATGTGTGGGGTTTTTTATCTAAAGAAATTAATTAAATCGTCCGAAAGGACAAACTAACCTATTAAGCACGCAATGATGTCACGAAGTTGGGGACCATCAACCATGATAGTGCAGTACATGGTAAGTCGAATATTTAACCCTTCCTCGTTTTGGGTCGAAGCCTATGCCCAAGGGTAGTGGTTTAACGAGCCAAAAGCTGGCCATATTATGAACTTTATTATTATTATTATTATTATTATTATTATTATTATTTATTATTATTATTATTATTATTATTGTTGTTGTTGTTATTATTTTGCTGAAGAAACTCTATTGTAATTTATATAATATGATCGATTTCCAGATGGCATATTTGTGCTTAGAATGTTTGAGGAATTTAAATCAGATCATCCGGATCATGTCGTTTGCTTCTTCCTCGGACAATACATAATTCTTGTCTTGGATGCTTTATTGGGATTTTGAGCAGCCTTCGAAAGGTTCCTCGTTGCTATCATTCACATCTAAGTAACATTCACGAGATGTAGATTGCCGGCAACTTTTGTAATATATATTATTTCTTTTGTTTTACTTTTTTCTCCTGGCCTCCTTTGAATGTTTGGGTAGCAGTGCAATTGTGTTTTTATGATCTAGATCAGTTCTATGGCATGTTTACTTATTAAGAGTGGAGAATGAGAATTGAGAATCGGAATTAACTCCACGTTTATTTACTCATTTTTATCTTGAAATGAGAGTGAGAATGTGTGGGTCCTACACTAATTTAAAATTGAGCAATGAGATTGACACTCCCCCCATCTTCTACTAGATTGACACTCCTCCCATCATCTACCAGATTGACACTCTCAATCCTAATAGTAAATGGGAATTACGATTTTACCCTTAATTTTATTAATAAATTTGTGAATAAAAAGTAAAAAGTAAAAAATTAAAAAAAAAACACTTTATGTGCTCGCAACGGCCAAACTATTAATCCTAAAGACATTTCAAGACCAGTTGAAAAGTTTGTATTTTTAATTTTCCTCTTTGCTTCCATAGTAACTGATGTATACTATGCTCTCTTTTAATTTATTTTATTTCATTTTTTTCCTTTTGCTGAATCACAATACCTTGTTGCAAAAATGCAGGTTTGTACCTCTTTTTTTATTTTTATTTTTTATGAGAAAGTCTACTCATGTTGCTTGTAGAGTGACAATTATGTATCGGAGTCTTTTAAAAAAAAAAAAAAATTAACTAGTCAACTATTTAGATTTACAAAGGAGAGAGTGAAATCGAATAGAGGAAGGAGAAGAAAATACCAGAAAGAGAAAAATAGAAATATGGGTTAGAGCAGAGAGTGGGAGTTTCCTTTTTTTTTTTTTTTTTTTTTTGGTGAAAGAAAGAAAGAGAATTGATTAAAGACAGAGGATTAATTTTATTTCTTGATAAAGAAAAATCAATTAATTATCGGAGTCTGTTTTTAGTTTAAAAAAAATTAATTGGGTCAACCATTTACATTAGAGGAGAGTGAATTAAATAGAAAAAAGAAAAAAATAGCAGAAATAAAATGCAAAATATATATTTTTTATTATAAAATTTCATAATTAATACCTTTTTAACCATTTATATATATATATATTATTTTAACCATTAATACTTTTTATTTTATTTTAATATATATATATATACACACACATCATTAACCATTTGTTCTTATTTTATTTCATCATTATATTTTTTTCTTTAAATCATTTCAAAATTTATTAGAAAAAATAATTTAGATGATTAATTACGTGTGATTAAAAAAATTGAATTACTGATTAGTTATTCTAATATTAAGATAGTTAGCATAATATACAATTTTTTTTTAAAGTTCAACACACAAAAATCTTCTAAAATGATAGGTAGGGAAATTTATAACAGTTTATTCTAATTATAGGTGTAAGTAAACACATGAATGAGATTAGAACTGATTCTGACTTTGATTCCTAGAACTTAAGTAAACAGCTTATTCTGACTCCGATTCCTGTCCACTCCGATTTATGTCCACTCCGATTACG